ACCCATCCATCCACCCCCCCACCCATTCACCCACCCACCCATCCAGTCAGCCAGCAAGCCAGCCAGCCAGGATTTATCCAAGTCTGCTGTAGGCCAGAGACTGGGAAGTTAGCCACAAACAAGATGGAAAATAAAGAAGAAAGGAGCTTTTCCTTTATCTCCTAAGGAAGGGAAACAGTTCAGCCAGGCAGGTTGCCAAGTCTGCCTTCATACCAGATGTGCCCAGTGGGGCTCTGATGCCTAGGAACGGCTGGCATTGTAGGTCTGTCTCCCTGGGACATTCCTGGATCCAAAATAAAAGCTATTCCCAGCACCACTTATGGACTGGATTTCAGAATACTATTACCTGAAATTTTGATGGCGTGGACTTGCCAGTACTATGATTGTAGGGAAGTGTCCTTGGGAATAAATGTTGAAGTGCTGAGGTGGTTCAGGATTGGCATGTCACCTTTACAGTTCAACAAGAAGTGAACGTGTAGGCGTGGTGGCACACACCTGTCATCCCAGCACTCTGGAAGTCTGAGGCAGGAGGGTCGCAACTTCAAGCCCAGCCTGGGCAATTTAGTGACGTAGCAAGACCCTATCTCAAAATAAAAAGGGGCTGAGGATATAGCTCAGTGCAAAGCCCCTGGGTTCAATCTTTAGTACCACAAAGACAAATAAGGAAATGGTCCAGAAGAACAGCCGTGTATATACAAACACACACATGCTGCAGTGTGTTTACTGTTCACAACTGGGGAATCCAGGGGAAGGGTCACAATTGCTCCTTGTTCTATTCTTCTGTCTGTACTGTGGATTTGAAGATTTTCAAAATAAAAAGTGCATGGAGGGAGGACAAGAGCTCGTGGCTATTGTGTGTCTGGGACACTGTCCCCGCATCTCCCAGGGGACCTGCCCAAAGACTTCCAGGCATCTGTTGTCTGTGCAGTTTGTTGATAACGAGGAAGCAGCTGAGGAACAGTGCTCGGTGGTAGCAGTGTGGGGACAGAGGGCCAGCCCTGCCCCTGGGCAGAGGGGAGGAAACGTCTGCCGAGCATGTGCACCACCAGGATACGCATAGTCTCCTCTGGCTGTGAAGTGTGCCGTACCGCAGCCAGCCTGGCCAGCAAGTGAAAGCAGGGGCTCCGGAGCCACTTCTGGGTGTAGGAGCTGAGCTCTCGAGCCCTGGGCGACCCCAGAGGAGCCTCCGGGATGCGGGGCCAGCTCTGTCTGGCTCCGGCTGGCAGTGTGGCAGGTCCCCAGGCCTGTCCGGTGTGGGGAGCGGAGGCAGCCAGTGTAGGTGTAGGTCCATCAGTAAGTGGTGGCCCTGCCGCTGGGGTGGAAGCAGAGCTCTGAAAGGTCTCAGGGCCACCCCAGGACAGTGCCCTCGTCTGCTGGGGCTCAGACCACTTTCTCCTCCTGGAAGAAAAGCGAGCTCCTATGGCTGCAGTGGTAGAGGACTTACTAGTGTGCGGGAAGCCCTGGGTTTGATCTCAAGCACAAAAAAAGACGGGGCCAGGGGAAGCTTGTATTTCTTGAGTGCATACAGCTGGGGAAACTTGGGCAGTGTTGTGAGGACTGAACGCATGATTACTGGGGGGAAATATAGGGAACAAAAGATCATCCAAAACTCCTCTCCAGGGATCGTGCAGTGACTGCTTATTGGAGGCCTACTATGTGCCAGACAGTGTGCTGGGGATGGCAGACCAGCAGGCGGCCTGGACCCCACTCAGAGGCCATGAGGGTGGGCCCTGGAGGTCTGGGGATCGGGTACGGCCATTTCTATTCATTTGGATACATAACCGGGCTAAGGGGAAACCCAGTGGCTCCGAGCTGGGCTCTGGAAGACATAAGATGTGGGGGTGGGAGGGCCACTCCCTGCCAGGAGGGGGACCCGAGTCCATGTGGCTGCGTCCTGCGTCTGGGCAAGGAGTGCTGGGTGCCAGGCTGCAGGAACCAGCGGGGCCTGGGCGCCCACCGTGCAGGGGGCGCTTCTCCTGGGGCAGCTCTGACCCCATGCTTCCTGCCCCGCTTGCCTGTGCGTGTAGGACAAGACGGGGTGCGTTTTGCAGGCAGTGCCGGGACAGCTGGCGGAGGTAGAGACGCCTTGGTGTGAGCTCCGTGGGTCTTGAAATGTTGTCCCTTGCTCCGCTCCTCTCCCTCAGCCCAGAGCTGGACAGCCCCTGCCCCCTGCTCTGTCTACCCCGAGCAGGCGCGCGGTGGGGGCGGGCGGCGCTTCCTTATCTCCCTGAAGCCTCGGGAGATGCCGAGCACTGGGGCAGAGGCGTTGCAGGGCCAGCGGGTGTGCAAGCGCTTTGTTTGCTGTTCCCTTTGAGGGCCGGGCCGGGCACCCGCAGCCTTTCTGACACTCTCCCGACAGCTGCTCTGAACCTGTGACCCTGGGCTTGGTGGCCACAGGTGACCAGACTTCAGGCCGGCCCTGGAGGGGCTCAGCAGCTGGTGTGGGCATCGTAGAGGCTTCTGAGAGGCAGTGATCCGAATGGGAAGGACAACAAGGCAAGGAGAGCTCCGAGCTCTCGAACAAGGGCTGGCGGCAGGGCCACGGCAGAGGCGGGTGGCGTCCGGAGTGTGGAGCCCTCACACGGAGGCTGTCACCACCCCAACTGCCGGGACCTCGACCCTCCGAGCAACAGAAGCCCTGGTCCCCAGTGAGCCAGCCACGCTGATGACCACCCGGGTCGATAGGTAGACGCCTCTGCCCCCTGGCCCTTGGGGGGGACACTGCCGGGCCATTTCCCAGAGCCCTTTGGGGGCCGAGCCCCAGCCGTCAGCGGCGCTGACTTGCCAGTGTGCACTTTGAAACGCTCCTCCCTTTCCGCTCTCCTTTCCCAGCCTGCCAGTCTTGCTTGGCTCACCTTCCAAGCAGACTGTTTCCAATCAACCCAAAACCAGACCCCACAGAGAGTCTCAAATCCATACTGAGGACAGTGGGGAGCCCCCCAGGGGCTTTTCCGCTTCTGGAGGAGCAAGTTCAGATTTTCCAGGTCATTCTGACTCTGGCTGGAGGTGGAGCTGGGGAGAGCCTGGCAGGGGCCATGGAGAGCATCCTCACAGGGTGCCCCTCTCAACCCGACAGTCTGTGCTCCAGGTGCCACTCTAACCACTTGGCATGCGTTTTCTCAGTGAACTTCACAAAGTCTGAAAGTATGGGCTCCATTTTACAGATGAGGAAGTTGAGGCACAGAGAGGTTGAGATACTTGGACGTAATCACACAGCTAGAAGTGATGTTTTGGGGACACAAGCCCAGGATGACAGATCCTGGATGCTTGTCCTTATTCCTCAGCAGTCCAGCCTTCTGCATCTTTCTGTCCTCTATGCAGACATGCCCAGGTGCTAGAAGGTGAGCCTTTAGCATCCTGGCTACAGGTAGGAACTCCAGTGACGAACCACTGCAGTACACTGAGCTCCATAGAGGCAGCGCGGGCAAGTGAGAGCGGGACGGCCCTGGGTGACTCTGTGCCTTGCTGAGGAAAACAAGTAAACATGGGCCAAGGAGATCCTGAGAAGCCGAGAGGAGCACAAGCAGAAGCACCAAGATGCTTCCGTTAACTTCTCGGGGTTTGCTGAGAAGCGCTCAGAGAGGTGGAAGACCATGTCTGCTAAAGAGAAAGGAAAATTTGAAGACATGGCAAAGGAGGACAAGGCTGGTTATGAAAGAGAAAGGAGGGGCTGGGGATTTAGCTCAGCGGCACAGCGCCTGCCCGGCAAGCACAAGATCGTGAGTTCAATTCCCAGTACCGGAAAAAAAAAAAAAAAAAAAAAGAAAGAGAAATGAAAACTTATCTTCCTCCTAAAGGAAAAAGAAAAAAGAAGTGCAAGGGGGGCTGGGGATTTAGCTCAGCGGCAAAGCACCTGCCTGGCAAGTGCAAGGTCCTGAGTTCGGTTCCCGGTACCGGAGAAAAACCAAAACCAAAAAAAAAAAAAAAAGTGCAAGGATCCCAGTGCACCCAAGAGGCCTCCTTCAGCCTTCTTCGAGTATTGCCCAAAAATCAAAGGAGAACATCCTGACCTCTCCATAGGTGATGTCACAGGAAAAACTGGGAGAAATGTGGATTAATACTGTGGCAGATGACAAGCAGCCCTACGAGAAGAAGGCTGCCAGGCCGAAGGAAAAGTGGGAAAAGGGCATCGCTGCCTCCCGAGCTAAAGGAAAACTTGATGCAGCGAAAAAGAGAGAGCTGTCAAGGCTGAGAAAAGCAAGAAAAAGAAGAGGAGGAGGATGAGGAAGATGAGGAGGAGGAGGAAGACAAAGAGGATGAAGACGAAGAGGAAGGTGATGATGATGAATAAGTTGGTTCTAACACAGTTTTTTCTCGTGTCTATAAAGCATTTAAGCCCCCTGTACACAACTCACTCCTTTTGAAGAAAAAAATTGAAATGTAAGGCTGTGTAAGATTTGTTTTTGAACTGTACAGTGTCTTTTTTTGTTTTTGTATAGTTAACACATTACCGAATGTGTCTTTAGATAGCCGTGTCCTGGTAGTATTTTCAATCACCTCTGACCTTGTCTGGTACAGCATGGGGTTTATAAATTGGCATGAATTTTTTTTTTTTTTTTTTGGTTTTTCTCCGGTACTGGGAACCGAACTCACGACCTTGCGCTTGGCCAGGCAGGCGCTTTTGCTACTGAGCTAAATCCCCAGCCCCATTTTTTTTTGTCTTTTTGAGACAGGGTCTCATTATGCAGTTCAGGCTGACCGTGAGCTCACTTTGTAGCCCAGGCTGGTCTTGAATTCACGATGATCCTCCTGCCTCAGCCTCGCGAGTGCTGGGATTACAGGTGTGCACCACTATGCCCGGCTGGCATGAAAATTTAAAACAGGTTCTTGTTGGTGCACAGCACTAATTAGTTATATAGGGGGAGTTATATATGGGGATGGTAGTACTGTTAAAAAAAAGGGGGGGGGCTGGGAATTTAGCTCAGCAGCAAAGCGCCTGCCGGAGAAAAACCAAAAAAAAAAAAAGAACTCCAGTGACTTCTGCCGTCCCTCCCCCATAGGTAAGTTTGAGGATAGAGAAGACCATGTGCCCAAGCTGGAGCAGATAAACGGCACGAGGGTCCTGAGCAGCCAGAACTTTGCCCTGACCAAGAAGGAGCTGCTGAGCACGGAGCTGCTGCTCCTGGAGGCCTTCAGCTGGAACCTCTGCCTGCCCACGCCCGCCCACTTCCTGGACTACTACCTCTTGGCCTCCGTCAGCCAGAAGGATCACCACTGCCACACCTGGCCCAGCGCCTGCCCCCGCAAAACCAAAGAGTGTCTCAAGGAGTACGCTCACTACTTCCTTGAGGTCACCCTGCAAGGTGAGGGCAGCGGACATGACGGGGGCCCACGGCAGGGCCACGGGGGCTGGGGTCAGGCGGCCCTGAGGGGCACGTCCGTCCAGAGAGGGGCTTGCTTAGTGACAGGCCCGAGCACCCACATCCCACCCGCCATGCAGGGGACGTGCAGAGCAGGGCGAGGGCTCCCCAGGGTGACACTAGTGATGCCTAAAAGAAACAGTAGCTTTCGCAGGGGCAGCCAGCACCCGCCTGCGGACGCACAGTCTGCCTGGAAATCCCGCTACAGTAACCCAGAAGGCTGCAGATGGTTTACATAGTGCAGACTTGCAGGTAGGCCGTACCCAGGCTTGTCCTCACACAGATCGAAAAGGGGGAGGGACCTCGGCTTACATGTGCTTCATATGTAGAAGTTATCCTATTTGGGGACTCTCATTTGAAACCTACTTTTCCCAGTATCTGAAATCTAGGCCTTAGGTATGCTGAGGAGGCTGAGGCAGGAGGATCATGAGTTCAAAGCCAGCCTGAGTTATATAATGGGTTCAAGGCCAACTTAGACCACAGAGCAAGACTCTGTCTCAAAAAAATCAAGCACCCAGGTGTTAGATGAAATGCCAGTCAGAGATACTGCTGATACAGCCAGTTGGTAATGCACCACAACCAAAATGACCTTGAGTGGCAAGACGCGTGACTAGGATCCCAAGCATTAATTGGACACTTACTGCATACCCAGTGTCTTATTGTAGAACTTGCCCTGCTCCTTTAAACCTCACAGTGGGACCAGGATATAGTCAGTAGCACAAGCACCTGCCTGGCAAGGGCAAGGTCCTAAGTTTGATTCCCAGTACCAAAATAAAAAAGGATAAACCTCACAGTGACCCCGCCCAAAAAGCATTTCAGTTATCCCATGTTACACACAAGGGAACTGATATTCAAGAGGTGCAGTAACTTACCCCACATCACTGCTAGGATTTGAACCTGAGGATCTGGCTCCGTGACAGTACTATAACCGTGATATTGTCTAACCAACTAATCCTTTAAAAGGCAAAAGCTGAAGTCACTGAAAATCGTAAGCCACTTAGGGCAACGTAGGAATGCACGGAAACCAGGTATCATTCCTGAAAACCCCAGGAGTCTCGGCTGCTTGCTTTTGCACACAAAGATGCCCCTTTGCCATGTGCCGTCTGTCTCATTGGGATGTACAATTTCTCAATATAGCTAGGTGAAGTGCCCCATTTCTTTGTGAACGTCAAACGCTTACAGCTGCTCATTCATGCAGTAGATTATAACAGCGTGTGCTGCAGGCCAGATGTCTTCGCTATTAGAAGCCTTTAGACAGACTTTAGAGTGAACCCTTTGGAGTGGTGTCACTCACCCGTAACAACCCAAAAGGGACGGACGTTCTGAGGTTCTGTTTGTGGCCCCTCTGCCACCTCTTTGCAATGGACACTATTTTCAAATATCACCCTTGGCAGCCCCCTAGCAGAAATGAGAGAATCAGTGCTGAAGATTAAGTAGCAGAGCCTCACATTTTCTGATTTTTCATCCACTCGGAAGGGTACCAGTGGAACCTTCTGGAACCCTCTGGAACTTTCTTATTTGTCCACCATGCCTGAGGGTGGATGTGCGATTCTCCATTATAGAGTTCAGGGAAGCTTTGCCATGCTGAGTCCTTCTGGGGTTCCCTTTCAGATCACGTATTCTACAAATTCCAGCCCTCTGTGGTCGCTGCTGCCTGCGTTGGGGCCTCCAGGATCTGCCTGCAGCTTTCTCCCTGCTGGACCAGAGAGCTGCAGAGAATCTCGAACTATTCCCTGGAACATCTCAGTGCCTGCATCGAAATCCTGCTGGTGTAAGTTCCCCTCCTGACCCGCACTTTTGAACCACTGAGGTTTTGCTTGCCCTTGAAGGTTTCATGGGGTCAAGGGGGCATTTCCTACCTTTGGGGCGGGTAGCGGCTCCCCCAGCACCAGGGCTTGGGGCATTGGCCCTTCCTGTTTGCAGTAACTTGGGCTCTGCATTTGTAAGATCGGGGATGAGGGAAAAGAGGGGTTGTGTGCACCTCCTTCAGACGTCTGAGCTCTTTGATGCGTCCTAATGTGATCCTGTGGGTGATCACACTGAGGGAGTCTGATAAGCTGCTTTCTCAGACGCAGCTGCACAGCTGACCTCTGAGTGAGCTAGAAATAGAGTGGCTTCACCAGGGGGCTGCAGCCTTCCTCCGGGGGTCCCTGGAGTCTTGGGCAGGAAACTCCCAACTCTGGGGTATCAGAGAAGATACTTAAAGGTGTCTTTGATCAAACACTGAAGCCGATCTGAGAGGCCAGAGAGGTTCATAGCAGCCTCGGGAGAAGGGTTCACAGGACGGGACACATCCTACATGGGCCTCTTCCACCCCACGAGGGGCAGCCTGACTGCCTGGTGGGCCCAGACGGTGAGAGCAGAAGCCCTTAGGCTCTAGAGAACCATCCCCTACCTTCCCCCTGTGACGTGGGAAGCTGCAGTGGCAGCCGCCTCAGCCTCACCCTCTGGAACGTCAGCCCTGCATATGCTTTTCCAGAAGGCCCTGCGGAAGGAGAGCACTTCCTGTTCGAGAGCAGAAGGGTCACCCAGCATTCAGCCGTCTGCCCGGCCTCACTGCACTGACAGCTGTCGCTCTGGGCTGCTTCCTTCCGTGTCTCTCGCAGCCTCCATCTGCTTCCTTCTTACATAAGGCTCTCATTGTTTTGTTTTCCCCAAGTTTTATGGGAGGCTTTCTTTTTTTCCTTCTTGTGGTACCAGAGATTGAATCCAGAGCCTCACACATGCTAGACAAACACGGTTGCTGAGCCACATCTCCAGCACTTACTAACTTATTGATTTATTTATGTAGAGGCAGGATCTCTCCTTGTAGCCCTGGCTGGCCTTGAATTCACTATGTCCTCCTGTGTCAGCCTCCTGAGTGCCGGGATTACAGGTGTGCACCACCACGCTCAGCAGAAGCTTTGTTTAAGATTGGGGAAAGGCTGTGGTTTAGCTCTTTACATAAGGATTCACTTAGACCCTAGCGGGCAGCTTGCCTGGTGTCCAGCTAGCTGAGGAGGGACGCAGAGATGTGTGGCAGGGAGAGGCCGTGCGCTGTGCTGTCAGGCGTCCTGGAGCGCTCTGCTGGGCCAGTTGCTTTTGCAGTGGTGAGCGAAAGCAGATGGACTCAGGTCAGCCTCTGGGATGTTACCTGCGAGAGGGGGCCACTCAGGGGCCGCCGGCACAGCTTCGTCTGGCCTTGAGGGGCTCCCTGTAGGCAGCAGTTCCAAGCTGGAAGCTGAGCCCTGGGTCTAGTTGGTGACGAGCAGAGGCTTCCTACACCTGCGCAGACAAGGCCCGACCCCGAGGACGCGTGTGCCTCTCCAGGTCCAGTAAGGAAGGCAGAGACATACACAGGTGTCTGGGGACCTCTCACCTCCGACTCTCACCAGCCTTTCCCTTTCAGAGCGTACGACAGTGTCCTCAAGGATGCCCTTGCGGTCAAGAGCCAGGCCTTGGCAGTGGTGCCAGGCACGCCACCAACCCCCGCCCAAGTGCTGTTCCAGCCGCCCGCCTACCCCGCGCTCAGCCAGCCATCGGCCAGCCTGGCCCGGCTGCAGACGCCCGTGCATGACCTGTGCTTGGCCTACCGGGACTCACTGCAGGCCCACCCTGCCGGGAGCCTGCTCTCCTCAGGTGCGAGCGTGTCCCTCCACCGCCCATACCCGGCCCTGCAGCCCCTGGACCTGTGTCCCGTGCCCGTCCCCGTGTCCCTCAGCGTGCAGACGGCCATAGCGGCCGAGCCCAGGCACTGCCTTGCCACCACCTACGGAAGCAGCTACTTCAGCAGCGGCCACATGTTTCCCGCTGGCTGCTTTGACAGCTAGGCCCCATGCGGGAAGCCTGGAAGCCCCAGGTGGAGGAAGAGAGCGCCGCAGAGAAGAGCTGAGCTAGCGGCGGCAGCGAGGAGGCCATCCCTGCAGAGCCACGGATGAGGAGGGGTCGTGCTCTTTTCACGTAAAGCTAGCCTGCAGTGAAACATTCAGGGACACACCTTGCTAGAGAGCATCCCTCGGAAACCCTCTTGCACACAGGCCTGGGGTACAGAGAGGCGGCCGGTGGCCAGTCTCAAGCAAGGTTCCACTGAATCAAGAAAGTCTTGGTAAGAGGCCACGGGATGCGGAGCTGCACACTCGCCCACAAGCACGTCCAATTTTAGCCTCAGACGTCTCTACTCCTTGCTGACGGCAGCTGCACCGCTGAAAACAGAAGGTGCACCCTGACGCAAGCTCAGGATCCCCGCATCATCGATGCCGCCGCCTTCCCGGGCGCTTTCTGTCCCTGGCTCCAGCCCGGAAGGGCTCTGGGTGTGCTTGTGCCTGAGCGCCTGCCTGCCAGGTCCAGCGGGGGGCTCTCGCCTCTGGTGTTGACCCTGAAGCCTTCCAGACCTCGTAGGTATTTCATGTGCTGCTGCTTCTCCAAGTGACCTAGCTTTCTGTCCTGCAAGATGTCTTGTTTACATACTGCATCAGGGATGTTGTGATACTTGAAAATTCCTTAAAAGAAAAGAAAAAAATCACGATGGCCACATTTCCCGTTCCAGGTGAGGCTGTTTTACCTCGGCTTGTGAGGGCCCCGTGGGTAACAGCAGAACTTCCTTTCCAGAAGCGGATGGTTAGAGGGAGAAACCCTCCCCGGGTTCCCCGTTCCAGAAGAGTCCACGTCTTGAATCATGTCTTCATCTATAGAATTTTGCTAATGACACGAGGGGAAAAAGGTGTTAAAGACAAAGGCTTGGAGCGGGCAATCCCACCTCCCTCCACCGCATGCTTCTCGTCCGTGGGGTTCACCCAGCCAAGGCCAGCGTGGACTGTTTGTCTACTGCCGCCTGGATTTGGGGTGTGGGTGTGGGTATGGGACGCTGCCTCTGCCACCACCGGGCAGCAGGGCTTAGTGGACAGAAAGCCAGTGTTGGTTTGGGGTTGTTTGGGGTTCTGCAGCAGAAGGGATCTCAGGAAGACTCTTACAACCATGTGCAATATGTTTTATTTCCTAGCTTGGGCTCAGCGTGTTGTTTTGGTTGGTTTGTTGTCGGGGGACACTGTTCACCCATCAGAACTGGGAGGTGCAAAGGACCACAGAAGCAATTTGTATTTTTTTGCTGTTTGTTTTTTAAGAAGAAGCCTTGTTGGTTTTCTCATCTCTTTAGCCGGTCAAGGTTACGGTGGGGGGCGGGGAGAGCGCCAGCAAGGATCCAAAGATGGTGAAGCTTTTCACCCAGACAGGAATCTCAGCGTGGAAGAGAGCTAGCCATGGATAAGGCACTGCGGCTTTGTAACTCTAGCATAGGAAACTGCACGATCAGTTTGTTGTTTTTCTTTCTCCTTTGCCGACCTCAGGTTATTGTATCTGTCTACTCAGGGGCTGGGGGCTTGGGAGGGGCTCCCTCAGTCAGACCAGCTCCCGAAAATAGGCATCCTGCAATAAACACGTCACCTGCTCACGTCTCTGTGTTCTGTTCTGGGCTCTCCCTCCCAAGCCGGCCCCTCCCTCCCTTCTCCAGGTGGCCGCGAGAGCATCTCCCCAGGATGGGAGCTGTTGGGAGTCACACTGGCCTCTTGGGATCTGGGTCCTTCTTCTGAAGACGCAAAGACCAGGGGCGGAGTCAGGCTTGATGTGACCAGCTCGCTAGTGCTGCCGCCACGCAGGCTTTGGAGGCAGACAAACCAGTAGGACAGGGAGATATTTACTCTAAGCAATGGGCTCACTTGATCAAACCATAAGGACTGGCAAGTCAAAATCTACAGGGCAGCATGCCAGCAGCCTGAATATTCAGGTGAGAGCCAGGCATGGTGGTGCGTTTATGTAATTCCAGCACTTGGGAGGCTGAGGCAGGAGGATTGCCACACCTTTGAAGCCGACCTCAGCTACAGAGTAAGTTCAAGGCCAGCCTGGAGCTCAGTGAGACTCTGTCTCAGAAAAAGAAAAACTGTAAGAGGTGCAACTATCTTAACGTGCCAGTAAGTTGAGGGTTTTGGCTTTCTGGTTGATGGTTTTATACTGAGATTGAGCCCAGGAACATGAACGCTGAGCTACATCCCCGGTTCTTTTATTATTTCTGTATTTTGAGACAGGATCTCACTCAGTTTCCCAGGCTGGTCTCCAACTTGTCATTCTCCTGCTTCAGCCTCCTGAGTAGCTGGAATTACAGCTGTAGGCCAGCGCTTCCAGCAGGGTTTGGGGGAGGGTTTTGTTTCTGGTTTTTTGTTTTGCTTTTGTTTTTGAGGAAGAGTCTAATTTGTTGCCCAGGCTGGTCTCAAACTCCTGGGCTCATGGGACCCCTTCCATCTTCGTGTCCCTAGTATCTGGGACTGCAGGTACAAGCCACTGTGCTTAGCTAAAATGGGGTGGGGGAGATAGCTACCAAGGGCGTGGGGTGTAGCTCTGTCATAAACTTGCCTGGCATGTTGGAGGGCCTGGGTTCCATCCCTAGTACCACCAAAGTGAAACCAAATCAAAACAAACCCCTGCCAACTAAAACAATAAGAATTAAGAACAAAAAAAAAAATTAGCTGGGCAATTTAGTGACTTTGACTCCCTGTCTCAAAATTTTATTTTTACATATTTATTTATTTTTGTCCTTTTGAGAATGGGTCTCGCTATGCAATTCAGACTGGCCTTGAGCTCACTTTGTAGCCCATGCTAGTCTTAAACTCTCAGTGATCCTCCTGCCTCAGCCTCCTGAGTGCTGGGATTACAGGCATGCACCACCACGCCTGCCTCAAAACTTTTATTTTATTTTATTTTATTTATTTATTTGGTCTTTTTGAGACAGGGTCTCGCTATGCAGTTCAGGCTAACCTTGAGCTCACTTTGTAGCCCATGCTAGTCTTAAGCTCTCAGTGATCCTCCTGCCTCAGCCTCCTGAGTGCTGGGATTACAGGTATGCACCACCACGCCTTGCTCAAAAATTTTATTTTATTTTATTTTATTTATTTATTTATTTGGTCTTTTTGAGACAGGGTCTCGCTATGCAGTTCAGGCTGGCCTTGAGCTCACTTTGTAGCCTAGGCTGGTCTCGAGCTCTCAATGATCCTCCTGCCTTAGCCTCCCAGGTGCTGGGATTACAGACGTGCACCACCACGCCTGGCTCAAAAATTTTAAACTAGAAATCTCAGTGTAGCTCAGTGCAAAGACCCTGGGTTCTAGCTCCAGTACTGACTGGATGGGGCAGCAGGGGACAGGGCGAGGAGCAACTTGTCAATTTAGTAACATGGTGCTTAAGATACCATTGATTATACTCAGAAATGTTTAAAAATGTCAATTGGGGGGCTGACGATGTAGCTCACTGGTAGGATTCTAGCATGTGTGACGCCCTGGTGTTGATCACTAGGACTGTCAAAAGCAAGTTATTAAAAATGTGTCCGGTAGGCTGAGAAGATGCTAACTAAAATGACAGAGGAGCACTGTGCAGAGACCCCAGGTTCAGTCCTCAGTGCTGAGGGGAAAGGTGTATAGGAGAGAGCTCCTGCTGTGATGGAGAAGTCAGGTTCTACTGTCCTCTAAAGAGCTCCTGCTTAGAGCTCTGCCCTGCCCTCTGCTCACCCAGCATCCAACAGAAGCACCCTGAGCTGGTGTCCTGCAGGACCGAGAGGTGTTTGCTTAGGGTGGGGAGGAGTGAGGCAAAGTGCTTGGCCTGAGACGGCATCCCGGCCCCAGGAGGTGCTGGGGACCACACATCCCTCCCACCATGTGCGAGGCTGGGGAAATCTAGGCTTGGAAGATGCAGGTACAAAGCCAGTCAGGTTTACCGAGAGCATCCACTTCACTCGGCAAGTCCCTCTCTCTGAGCTTCCAGACCCTCTGTTACCATGGAGATGGTTGAATTGATGGCGGGGTGTGAGCTCCAGGAGGAAGCTGAGCCCTGCCTCCAGTTGGAAGGATCCACTTACTTGCCTTCCACACATGGCTGCGCCTTGCGGGGGTGGGCAGTCTGCGTGCTGGGGTGGGCAGGTGGGAACTGGCTAGGAAAGCTTTGGTAAATGCAGAAATGGCGGTCAAGCCTCTCTCCCCAGGCTGCCGTCTGGCTGAATTTAAAGGTTTTTAAACCTGAGCACGGTGCAAGAGGACCTAGGGCCTTCTTTAAGAGGGTAAGGGCCCTGGAATCTGCATTCTTAACCAGTTTCCCAGTGGCTCAGATGCAGGATTTTTTTTGAAAAATTAAAAAAAAAAAAGAAAGAGACTAAATATGCACGACCTGGTGCCTGTGCTCGGGGGAGAGTAAGGAACCAGCGCCCCACCCCGAACTTCCGCCACCAGGCTCTCGTGTTTGCTCTGCGCGCTGTCCCTTGCTGCTGCGCAGTGTGCTTCCCTGAGCGGGGGGGTGGGGGTGGGGTCCGGACTCCTTTCCTAGGAGGAAGGCACTTCTTTCCAGAGTGACGTTGCCGGTGCTCAGATTGGGGTCAGAGTCTGGCTTTCAATTCCTCGTGCCCTCCGGGGTTTAAAGTCTGTCTGCAAAGCTTCTTGCCTGCCCATCCGACGGCTGTCCTCCTCAATCCCTGGGCGGCTGGCTCCTCAGCCTTTATGTCAGCGTCACTCTGCCCCCAGGGCGCATGTGGCGACAGCGTCTAGTGGGGGTCGTTTTTTTCCTCCGTAATGGAGGTTGGGGCAAGACTGGCAATGCTGCTAAATATGCCCAGTGTGCGGCAGCAGTGCCCTGTGACGGTGACCTCGCACACATGGCGGTAGCGCCGGGGTCTCAGCTGACATTGCAGAGAGGCCACTGCCCCTCCTGGCTCTCTCCTCACCCCCTTTTATGTTCTTTGCGCTATTAAAACCATAGGGAACCTTGCTTGGGTCAGTGGTCGTGCGACACAGCTCCTGGCAGCTGGGGGGCAGTCACTGCGTGTGGGCCGCTTGCACCGGGAGTTTTCTTTGAATCGTCCTGGGAACCCCAGAGTGGAAACTGACATTCGCAGTGTGTCGCAGGAAAGCGAGGGCACACGAGGCGACTCACGGAAGGAGCCGCCGGTCAAAGCCCAGCAGTGCCTTGCACCTCCTCGCTCAGGGCTTTGGAATGAGTTCCGTGAAGGACAGCTGGCCGCTACACTCCCCACTTCCGGCAGCTCCCCATGGGAAGCCGTGGCCCCAAAGCCTGAGGCTGACCAACTCCCAGGGTCCGGGTGAAGGTTCCTGAGAAGAGGTCTGAGTCTGAGGCGCAAGGCTCACTACCACATTCTGCACCGCGCAGCTAAGCACACTGGCTTTATTTTTTGTTCTTTTCTCTTTCTGAGACAGGGTCTTATTATGCAGTTCAGGCTGGCCTTGAACTCACTTTGTAACCCAGGCTGGCCTTGAACTCGTAGCAATCCTCCTGCCTCAGCCTCCCAACTGCTGGTATTACGGACAAGCACCACCACAGTTGGCTAGCGTGCCTTTTTTTTTTGGTACCAGCAATCGAATTCAGGACCCTGCACTTGCCAAATAAGACCCTGTGCTGCTAAGCTATATCCCCAGCTCTAGCGTGCTGACTTTGGAGCCATGACTGTGGACTTAACCCTTATCCTTTAACTTCCTTGGAGGAAAGGACTGTCTTCCCATCCCATGTGACACAGGCGCAAGATGAGGCACAGGGAGGACTGGTGACTTCCCAGATGACTTACAGGTTGGTGGCAGAGGCACTGCTGACCCTTTAGCCACGATGACGAGAATGATGGTCATAGACCCTGTCTCAAAAACACCAAAAAAAAAAAAAAAAGAGAGGCTGGGTGTGGTGGCACACGTCTATAATCCCAGCACTCGGGAGGGTGAGGCAGGAGGATCATTGCAAGTATGAGACCACCCTGGGCTACAAAGTGAGCACAAGGCCAGCCTGAACTGCACAGCGAGACCCTGTCTCAAAAAAAAAAAAAAAAAAAAAAAAAAAAAAGGATGGTCGTGACACTGGAGGCAGTGGCCGCGCTGGTGGCTGCTGGTACAATGTGCGGCCATGCTGTCAGGTAACCAGAGTGGTTATTGCCATTTAAGCTAGGGAAGCAGCTCAGGGAAGGGATGAACTTACCCCAAGGCCACAGCTACTGCATGGTAGATGAGGGATTTGAACCCTGGCAGTGAGACTCCAGAGACAAAGCTCTTAACCACTTGCCTCTCTTTTCAGGGTTGTGGGGCCGTTATCTGGGTTGAATCCAGGCCTTCACTGAAGTCCCCAGGCCTTCTTTAAAAGGGTTTGTTTTGTTTTGTTTTGATACAAGGTTTCTCTCAGTTGATAATATAGAAAACCCTTCCGATCCTCCTCACAGCCCAGGAAGTTTGTATTTGTAATCCCGTGAAAAGTTACTGAGATTCTAGTGGGCTAATTCCAATCTACCACTCTCAGGGCAACCCATGGTGAGAACAAGGACACTAAGGCATATTCGTAGCTATGGGGAGCCAAGGGGTCCTGAGTCCAGTCACAGTGATGACTGTCAGGAACAAAGGCCTTGACCCAGGCCGAACCCGGATTTTATTAATTTGTGAAGAAAGGAATGGCTTGAGATGTGAACTGTGACACTGGTGGGAAGCGCATGAGTGCTGTGAGCTGGGCTAGGTAGGAGACCTGAAATCCCCTCTGCCATATGCAAACGGGAGGATATGCAGACAGAGTCATCTGCATAACTGAATTGAGGTAGTATTTAATGTTTTGGGGTTGGTGCATCAGCTCTGATGTGTAATCTTTGATGTCCTGGGAAGTCATAGCCTCCTACCTGGAGGTTTGATCCCAGCTGACAGCATGGAGCATGGCTTTCCATCCCACCTCGCCCTGGTTCGCACATGGGAGCTACAGGGGCCCCTAGGAAACACTGCCCTGTCAGACTACATATCGGCACCTTGGCTGGACCGATATGCATTGCTTAAAGCCAACTGAAGGGATAAGGAAATGTCCTAGCCAGCTCTGTACATATCAGTACATAGAAGCAGGGTCAGGTTCAGCCAAAATAGACAGTTGTTCCTCCTCCAAGGACAGTCGCCCAGGGGGTCCTTGGCCAGGCGTGGTGGCACATGCCTGTAATCCAGCACTCAGGAGGATTGTTGCAAGTTCAAAACCAGCCTGGGCTATGAAGTGAGCTCAAGGCCAGCCTGAAATACATAACGAGACCCTGTCTCAAGAAGACAAAAATGAATAAATTAATTGTCCAGGTTGGGCTCTAGTTTGCCATCCTCCTGCCTCAGGCTCCCAGGATGCTGGGATTCCAGACATGTGCCAACTACTGCCTAGTCACAAAAAAAAAAAGTCGCCAGGTGGTCCTCCACATGGTAAGTTCCCCAGGCTGGGCTCAAACTTCCATTCTTCCTGCCTCAGCCTCCCTGAGTGTGGGACTAAAGGAATGCACCACCACACCTGGCTTGCTTACTTCCCCTGACTGAGGAAGCTTCCCTACCCAGAGGCCTGAGGCTAGTGAGGTAGACACTTTCCTCCAGCTGACTTTACAACACTGACCTCAGAAACCGGAGCCTCCATCGGGCGATGCTCAGTTCCGCATTACTCTTGACCCCACACTCACTGTCTACTGTGTGACCTTGGGGAAACTTCTGCGCCTCGGCATCTGGTTCTGTGAAATACAGAATCTAAACTACAGTAGTTGTCATCTGAGGTCCCGAGGTTCCACATTCAGGGAGTCTGTGACAGCGTGGACTTGAAATCTCCTTGCCAACAATTTTTTTTTTCTTTTGTTTTGTTTTGTATGTAGCTCAAGCTAATCTTGAGCTCACTTTGTAGCCCAGACTGGTCTCGAACTCACAATGATCCTCCTGCCTCAGCCTCCCAAATGCTGGGATTACAGGTGTGCGCCACCATGCCTGGCTGGACCAATAATTTGAATCTGTCCTTGAAATCCCTCCCTGTCCCTACCTCCTCTTCCCCCTCCCTCCCGTCCCCTCCCCCCTCCCCTCCTCTCTTCCTCCTTTCTTCTCTCCTTTCTCTGCTCCTCTTTCAGTTTTCAGCGTAATTATGGTTAACTCTGTTATTTAGAGACTTATTATCCAAGCTCATTATGAGTAATTATTCAGTCTGGAGGGGAAACAGCCATACTGCTAGTTTAATTTAATGCTTGCCTAGCTCACTTAATTAGCAATAAGTCTTGGCACAGCCTTGGAGTCCATGGGGTCCTGGCTCAGTGGGTGGGTGAGGAGAGGCCCGTGCTATTCTTGGAAAGATAAACAGGTCTCGGTTCCTTCGGGAGCTGAGCTGGGCCCAGCCTCTGCCTGGCCAGGCTGCCCCGAGGTGAAAGGTGGGAGTTACCCAGGGTGGAAGACCTGCGGCGTGCCAGGCCCCGTGCCAGGTGCTAGGCAAACCTTATTTCTTATGCCCTACTTGTGGGACTTTGACATTCAAGATAATTTCAGTACTACCTTCAATAATTCAACTTTTTTTTGTACCGCCACACTACATCCTTATATTTTATCTTGAGACAGGGTCTTGCTCAGTTGCCCAGACAAGCCTTGAACTTGGGATGTTCCTGTCTCAGCCTCCTGAGCAGCTAGGATTACAGGTGTGCACTACCATACCCAGCTGATAATTTTATGGTAAATGTGTTCTCTTTTCAGCAGTCTACAGTAACTTGCTTAATTAAGGAGAAAAGCCTGGCATGGTGGCTCACACCTGTAATCCCAGCACTCGGGAGGCTGAGGCAGGAGGATTCTTGTGAGTTCGAGGCCAGCCTGAACTGCATAGTGAGACCCTGTCTCAAAAAGGCAATAAATAAATAAATAAAATTAAGGGGAAAATTTTATAGGTGATGCACCTCTGTCTTTTACTTTTCTCACCCTTTTAACCATGGGAGGCGCTGGCTTTGGGCAGGCACCATAGCACCATAATCTGGTTACAAGTCCACGTGGTTTGGCTCTATTTTAATAGTTTTAACTCTACTTTCAGCAAATAAGAATTGACTTTCCTTTTTTTTTTTGGTACCGGAAATTGAACTCACAACCTTACACATGCTGGGCAAGTGCTATGCTGCTGAGCTACAACCCCGGCCCAAGAATTGACTTTCCGTGTATGGAATTGATAGGAAGTTCCGTTGTAGTAAAAATGAGTGAATTGTTACTCGGAAAAATATTGGTAGGGTTGGTGCTCAGATGTAACAGATGCTCCCAAGGATAGAGCAGAGCGAAATGATGCTGTGGGTTAGGGACAGTGGGTTAGGGACAGTCTCGCCAGGGGACAAGTGGGCCTCCCTTCCCACCCCACACCCCGAGCAGATGGAACTTCCCAGCAGGCGCAGTAATCTGCCGCACTCCATGCCGCCTCCGTCCTTCTCATTCCTAGGGTCCCAGCCCCCTCCGCCATCTCCCCAAGTTCCTTCCCCAGGCCCCCTCCTAGCCTGGATGTCCTAGCCCTTCCTCTCCCCTGGCAGTCCCTCTGCAGTTTCATAGATGGTCGTTTTCTCTTACTCCCTGCCAGTGGGTAAACTGAGGCCTAAAGGGACAACTCCACAGCAAACGACAGCAGAGCCACAGCCAAACTGGCATGCCCACCCCCCCGCCCCCGCCCCATGCATCGAGCCTGGTGTCGGCCATGCCGCAGAGCCCAGCGGCCAGGTCCTCCCTGGAGCTGTGGCTGCCACCCCCACCTCCTGCCCGGCGTCCTGATACCTTGTACTGTGGCTCACCTGAGGGGACCCACATGGCCCCTCCCAGGAGGCTGCTTCTCTTTAGGGGAGTCTTCAAGCAGCCCTAACCTCTTTAAAGGGGCTAGGGGTCCACAGAAAGGTGCCACCGGCTCCCGTGCCACCCTGTGGCCTGTCCCAGAGTCAGGAGCCCTGCAGTCCATATCCCCCAGGGACTGCGGGGCCATGGGAAGCCCACGTGACCTGTGCAGGCTACCTCGGAGGCTTTCCGACCCCCACCCCCAGACAGCAGAGAACAGCCGAAGAGAGGGGTCTGCTCAGGTCAGTTTTATTGGTGGCTCTGCACACCCGCGGAGCCCAGCCTTTTCGCTCAGGCCAGCCTCTTGCTCACGCGCTCATAGGTCACGTCTCCGACGGTGGAGATCTGAAAGAAGCAGCCGGGACAGAAGGGGTCAGTGCCACACTCTGTAGGGGGGACCATGGAGGGAGACCCAGTGGTTCCCAGGGGTCACGGAAGCCACAGGGCAGCCTCCACGTGGGAGAGCGTCCCCCTCCACCTGGGGACGGTGTGGCTCTGGCACACTACACTTCCGTCCACCTCCTGGTCCACGTCACCCATGCTGGGAGCCTCCCTCCATTCACATATTGAAGGCTCAGCAGCCTAGGAGGCTGCCCACCCAGCGGGACAGAGGAGGAAGCTGAGGGCTTGTTCTCTTGTGAAGATCATTTCTCCAGTTCCCACAAGCCCGCCTCTGGCCCTCTCGTCCGGGGCTGTTCCTGCATCCTCACAGGCTGGGAAACTGAGCTCCTGGGAGCCAGCACCCATGGGCTGACAGCTCACATAAAAGTACATCCAGGGCCAAGGATATAGCTCAGCGGCACAAGCGCCTGCCTGGCAAGCGCAAGGTCCCGAGTTCGATTCCCAGGACCAAAAGAAAGAAAAAAATCATTCCTTGAGCTGGGCCTGGTGGCGTACGCCTGTAATCCCAGTACTCGGGAGGCTGAGACAGGAGGATCATTGCGAGTTAGAGACCAGCCTGGGCTACAAAGTGAGCTCAAGGCCAGCCTGAACTGCATAGCGAGACCCTGTCTCAAAAAGATTAAAAAAAAAAGGTACATCCAGGGCGTTCCTGATGCCCCAGGAGGCCAGTTTTCACCCTGTGAAGGAAGATACTCACTTTCGTTCATTTTAGACTTGTTTCAACACAGTACATCTATTTTTTTTTTAATTCTTTAACAAATTAAAAAAATGAAGAAGAAGGAAAAAGACCCAGTAGTCTGGGAGAACAGGCAGAGAGCCCAGCCTAGAACTTGGGGGATGACGTCTACCTCCCCACGTTCTAGCTGTGTGGCCTTGGGCAAGTTGCACACTGTCTCTGAGACACAGCAACAGGAGGAGGTAACAACTTAAGGGGTCTTTGTTCAGAAGGGGGCCAGGGCTGTAGCTCAGCACTTCTGGGTTCAGTGCCCGGTGCTGTAAGAAGGGGATGGTAAAGAAGGGGCCACCCTGCCTTCCCCAGGAAGAGGTGAGGAAGGAGGGCTCCTTCCAGACTGCGCCGCCCCAGACCTGGCCCAGGTACAGGCTCAGCAGGGAACAAGGTTCTTCTCCTTTTCGAGCTCACACCCATCCCCTCCACCTGGGGACGGCTCTGGAGACCCGAGAGGAGGAGACAGAGAAGAAACAAACGTTTACGCGGCCCGAGTGTGGTCGTGGCTGCTTCTCCAGGGTATGTGTTGGACCCAGCGGTTTAAAAAAGCATTTAAGTAGTTGCCAACTTTTGATCATGCAGAGGTTTCATGGAGAAACACAAATTTCCAGCTTATTTTGAAAAATCACACACAAAAAAGAAAAATCACAAGGCCCAGGAGGAAGGGACTGAAGGCTCAGGGAAATGGCGGGGTGCAGTGGCTGCCATGGGGGCCCTCCCAGACCACACCAGACCACCTTCCTCTCCACCCTGAGAAAGCCTCACAGGGCCCCAGCTTGCAGCCTTGCGGTGGCCGAGCTGTGCACCAGAGTCAGACCGCCTCGCGTGGGTCCCAGCTGTGTCGACGCAGCTCTGCACCCCCCGTGGGTCACTCAGCCGCCTTCTGCCTCAGTGTCCACATCTACCGGAACCCACCGAATGTGAAATCAAAGGGGGTCAAGTGCATCCTGGTGCGAGGACAGTGCTGGCCGCCCCAGGCCCACCTCCAGGGGGCTAAGCTGAGGCAGAAGAGGCTGACTGTCCCAGAGCCCAGCAGGACGCTCACCTCCACCAGCTTGTCACCCACGATCTCCGAGGTGTGGCGATAGTTGGGGAACTCGATCACTACCTTCCCGCCTTCCATATTCACGGTGGCCTGGGAGGGAAACACAGCATTCGACCTGTGCTGCCAGGTCTTCCAAGTGCAGGCCAGCGCCTCCGGGAGCCAGGAACACCAGTGGCTCAGGGAGCCAGGAATTCCAGCGTCTCAGGGAGCCAGGAATGCCAGCGGTCCAAGAATCCCCGCTAGGAACCTGCCTAGATGCTTGAGGGGGCCAGCGATTTAATCCCATGGCTTGGCTCCCCCACCCTGTCAGTAAAGTGGGGCGAGTACTTGCAATGACTTCAAAGGTGTGTCAGCCATCTGCGAAGGGTCTGTTATGTTATTTTGTTTTGTTTTGCTTATCTTCTTTTTTTATTTTTTTTTTCATTTTATGCTGTTAAGTGCTCAGCAGTACCAGCTATTTCACGGTCACTGTGGTGTCTATTGCAGACGGGAACCATTAAAAGCCTGAGTGGTCAGTGGCAAAGCACTTAGAGCGCTCAGCGTGGCTGGGGACCACAGAGTGGTCAGCTTGGGGAGCAGCGGCTCTGCCCGGAAGTGCAGGAGGGACAGGAGAGGGGAAGGGAGGAGGGTGGCCAGGGGCCTCTTACCTTGAAGTTCTTGCCCCCGAAGGACACCAGGTCGCTCTCTTTGCCGATGGTGAACTTGTTGGTATTGATGTGGCTCCCCGAGAGGGACTGCACCCAGGTGAAGTCCTGCCCGTTCTGCTGTATCTCCGTGACGATCTTGGCGTTGCGACCCTTTTCAATCACGTCACTAGAGAGACCTGCACTCCGTGAAAAGCAGAAGGACCATGTAAGAACTTGTCACCATGTGATTTGGAGAAAGGCACCTTTCCTGCCCAGGGGAGGCCGGCCTGACGGTTGGTTATAGCACAGTGCCTGGGACAGATGGCACAGACCTTCTCATCCCAGGTGCACCTCAGGCATGTGGCATGGGAGAGTCACCGGCTGCCTGTGCCTCAGTGTTTCCATCCACAAGATGGGAATAATAGGACCCCTTCATGGGGCTGTTGCAAGGATTAAGTGCAACATGATTGTGTCTGGTAAAGCACCCAGCATGTAAGTGGTGCCTGTCAGTTCAGCATGGCCAGTCCTCTGGTAGTAACATATATAAATGGCACACAGACTTCCTACACTGAATGGGATCTTCAAGACTATGTCTTCTAGGGGCTGGGGATTTAGCTCAGCGGCAAAAGTGCCTGCCTGGCAAGCGCAAGGTCATGAGTTCGGTTCCCGGTACCGGAGAAAAACCAAAAAAAAAAAAAAAAAAAAAAAAGACTATGTCTTCTAAACCTAGCATGGTGGTGGACAGCTGTAATCCCAGCACTCTGGGAGGCTGAGGCAGGAGGATCACAAGTTTGAGGTGACTTAGTGAGACCCTGTCTCAAAATAAAATCCAAAGGGCTCAGGATGTAGTTCAGTATGATCTGCAGGACCAGGAAAAAAAAAAAAATGTCTTCTGATACTTCTGTCTTTTTTTTTTTGTACTGGGAATTGAATGCTGTGCCACTGAGCTATATAATGCTTCTGTCTTACAGATAAGAAAACAAAGGCCCAGATGGGGGAAGGGGCTTTCCGGTACGTCGGGATCTGATCGAGGACTGAGGTAGGGTCACTTCCTGTCCCACAACAGCTCAGCAGACCGTGACCCCTCCTCGGGCAGCTGCCAATCAGTGACACAGAAGGGCTCCGGCCTCCCCAGGCCTGGGCTGAGAGGACTCTGCTGTCAGGACCACAGAGTGGGCGGGCGCAGGTCGCCCATAGCTATCCTCTGAGTCTTCCAGGTTTTTTTTTTGTTTTGTTTTGTTTTTTGACACAGGGTCTCACTATGTAGCTTAGGCTGGCCTTGAACTCATTGCAATCCTCCTGTCTCAGCCTCCTGAGTGCTGGGATTACAGATGTATGCCACCATGCCTGGCGCCTGTGTGACTTGGACTGATTACTCTGTTCTCCCTGGCCTCAAATTCTTCACTAGTAAAGTGGAGATGCTAGCAATATCCTGTTAAACATTTAAAAGGCAAAGACTGTCTTACGACACTTATCACCTTCAAACAAAATAGGAGAAGCTGAGCATGGTGGCACACGTCTGTAATCCCAGCACTCAAGAGGCTGAGGCAGGAGGATCAGGATTGCCTTGAGTTTGAGGCCAGCCTGAACTGTATAACGAAACCCTGTCTCCAAAAACACAAACAACCAAGGGGCTGGGGATTTAGCTCAGTGGCACAGCACCTGCCTGGCAAGTGCAAGGTTGTGAGTTCAATTCCCGGTACCGGAAGAAAAAAAAAAAGACAACAACAAAAAAAGATGCGATAGTTGGCCAACAAATATGTGAATGGATGAATACACGGATGAATGAATGAATGAACAAATGAAGTCCGTCCTGCCCTGCCCCACCCGAAAGGCCTGGCTTCCTGGCCCAGGGGTGACCAAGAGCTCACTCACCGAGGCGCTTCACGAACTCGTCAAAGTTCTTCTCGCTCTCCACCTGGTATTTGCCGTTGAAGGCCATGCTGCAGGGACAGCTGGAGCCAGAGAGCCGCAAGAGGACCAAGAGGCTGAGGAAGAGGCTGATGCTGAGGGGCCCAGAGGCCCCGCTTATAAACTCTCCCCGCAGCTGAGGCTCAGCCCCAAAATCACCCCACTCTCCTTCCTGCCCCAAAGAGGAAGCGTTGCTGTTTTACGATGTGGGCAGAGCCCTGAGGTCGTTCACCTGGGAAAATCTCAGGGTAATCCCATTGCCGGCAAGGTCAGGGGTGAGCAGCCCTAGGGCTTGGGGAGTCATTCACCCCTCTGCCTGTCCCGCCCTTCACCCACCCACGGCCTGCCCTGTCTCTGTCCCCTCGTTGTCCCATTCTCTCCTTCATCCCACGGCATCGGGCACCTGGGCCTGTGGCCCAGCTCTGCGCAAACTCAGATGAGTGAGACATGTGCTTTTCCCAGAAGAGCTCCCAGCCCCGTGCAGGAGCAAGGCGCACGCAGCAGAAGGTGTGAGCAGGGTGCTGTGTCCCCCCCGAGAAACGAGGTGCGGCCTGAGGCCCAGGGAAGGGGTCGGGTGTCTGGCGAGGGCCTCGTGCACATCTGGGGAGCAGGCAGCATTTTACATGGGTCTGAAAGACCAGTGGGCTCTGGATGAGCAGGGAGACGGGGAGGTGGGAGGAAGCTGAGAACAAAGTGAGATGTGTTCTGGGATGAGCGGTACTACATGGGAGAGGCGGGAAGGCAATGACAGAAAGCAACAAGCTCGGCCGCAGCCCACAGCCGTTGCAGGACAGCAGACTTTTGAAGGATGGAGATCATACAACCAGACCAAAGCAGCAGCCCCAGGAACTACAGTGGGCACTTGGAGGGAAAAGTACTCTAAAGACTGCCAAGTACCAAGCCCCGGGCGCTGGGCCGGGAACTTGGACCGTCACTTTGTTCAAGCTTCTTGCTGGAAGAGGCTAGGGACTTCCGGTTCCAGTTCTGTCTCCCAGAACCACCTCAAGGGCCATACTCTAGCTGCTCCACCTGGGGCTTGCTTTGTGCTCACACAGACGGGGCAGCACAAGGCTGAAAGTAGCCGAGCGTGGTGGCACGCTCCTGCAATCCCAGCACTCAGGAGGCTGAGGCAGAAGGATCACTGTGAGTTCGAGACCAGCCTGGGCTACAAAGTGAGTTCAAAGCCAGCCTGAATTGCATAGCAAGACCCTGTCTCAAAAAGACAAAAAAAACAAAAAACAAAACACCAGAAAGGAGCCGGGCATGGTGGCACATGCCTGCAATCCCAGTACTCGGGGAGGCTGAGGCAGGAGGATCATTGCAAGTTCGAGGCCAAGGGGGCTGGGGATTTAGCTCAGTGGCACAGCGCCTGCCTGGCAAGCGCAAGGTCGTGAGTTCAATTCCCGGTACTGGAAAAAAAAACAAAAAAACAAGTTCGAGGCCGCCTGGGCTACAAAGTGAGTTCAAGGCCAGCCTGAACTGCAGAGCGAGACCCTGTCTCAAAAAGACAAAAAAAAAACAAAAAAAAAAACAACACAAAAAACCCACTAGAGAAGGAGAGAGAGAAAAATCATATTGTTCTGTTCCACCCCATTTGATGTAATAATATAGGTATATGTTTGTATAACTCTATAAAGGTACATCATAACCTTCTAAGTCACTCTAGGGGCTGGGTGTGTAGCTTAGTGGTAGAGCCCTTGCCCCATATGTGCAAGGCCTTGATTCAATTCCCAGTACTGCAAAAAATAAATAAAGAGCTCCAGAGTATTCTGTTGTATCTATGATTCATAATTTCCTTAACTATGTCTGGATCTTTAAGTAGTTCCCAATCTTTTTTTCTATTATAAATAACTCTGATGTAAGTACTCTTGTTCACACCCGGAATGTACATGTCAGATTATTTACTAAAGTTATTTGCTAAGGCTGAATTCCTGGAGATGAAATTCCTGGAACAAATGATTTTTTTTCAGTATTGGGAATTGTATCCAGGGTCTTTGCATCAAGCTCCATCTCCAACCCTTTTTATTTTTCATTTTGAGAAAGAGTCTCACTAAATTGTCCAGGTTGGGCTCCAATTTGCCATCCTCCTGCCTCAGCCTCCCTGAATGCTGGGATTCCAGACATGCACCAACTACTGCCTCATCAAAGGATTTTTCTATTTAAAATTTTTCTATTACTTTCTTTTTTATTATTATTACTTTCTTGCCTTTCAGGAAGACTACGTTGGCTGACATACTTGCCCAGAGCCAAGTTCGAATTTCCCCTCACTTATGTGAAGGGTGAAACAACCGTGACAGTCCTAACTGCCAAGTGCCTGGTGTCTACTATGCATTAGATTCTGCTCAGTGTTTTACATGTCTTTCCTCATGTACTCTTCAGACCAACTTTGTGGAATGGGTGCAGTTACTGTTCCCAAGAAGCAAATGGTCTGGAGCAATAGCACCAGGGAACGCACACTCACAGGAAGCTGACAGGAAGCTCCAGCCTCATTAGCCCCCCTTTCCCATTCCTCCTACCCTCCTTGTTCAAGGGCAGTGTCCAGGACAGGGTGAGAGTGGCGGAGTGCGGGAGTGACACCTGACTCAGCCTCTTCCTCTCCCCCTCAGGAGTCCGCGTGTGCGCACAACCTGCTGCCCTGTCTACTCACGCCTTACAACTCTCTCTCTCCAGCTGGGCTCCCCAGCTCGCTCAGGCGCCCACTGACAACCTCCCCGGAGGGGTGAGTGAACTCACGCTTCCTCCTATCGCAGCAAGGTTTTATGGGCCAATGAAACGATAGAGCGACTCTACCCAACTGGAGATAAGCAGCGTCCCAAGGCTATCTCTCTGGGCACCCCAGCTTCCCCCCGCTGGACTCTGGATCCTGCCTCAAACGGGACTGTTCTCCGGAAGGTAATACACAGAGCAGGGTGGGGACACGGGCCTTGAGTCGCCGGCAGCGGAGGGCCCTGAGCCTCCTACCCCCCCATCCCAGGGACGCCATTGTGAATGCTGCGCCTGGAGCCCGGAGATCCACAAGCTGCTGATTCCTCCCTCTACTCCCATGTCCTCCTCCTCCTCCTCCTCAGCCAAAATCTGAAACGGTCATGGGGCTGATTCTAAAATGCCTCCATTCTGAGGGGAATTTACTGCACAATGTTGCCCTAGTTCTGCTCTCAGCTGGGGACTCGGCAGAGCACTTGCCCAGCAGGCATAAAGTCCTGGTGTGATCCCCAGCAGCAGAAGCAGCAGCAGCAGCACCACCACCACCACCACCGCCCTAAAGAATGAAAAAGTCAAAGGCTGAGAAATGCAGCCTGTCCTTGGGAAGTCCCCTGCCAGTCCCGGATGGAAACCGGGTCCAGGCCGCCTGCGTTTGGGTCCCAGTTCCGCCACGCGCTGGCTGGGTGGACTTGTGCAAGTTATTTATCTTCCTGTATCTCACTCTCCTCAGTGTTTTACATGTCTTTCCTCACGTGCAAAGTTGCTGGACCAGCCTGAAAGGGTGATGCTAATATTAAATGAGCATCAAGCGAGCACTGGGCGGCTGGCTGGGCTGGTCCCCAGCTGCCCAGGGAAAAGCGTCTCCCTCAGCTGCAAGCGTCAGACGCCCCAGGCTTAGACTTCCTTTTTGTTCTCTTAGCACTATCCTCTTCGCGATCTCATGTAGCCCAGAGCTAAGGCCAGGCATGGTGACGCACCCAGTAATCCCAGCACTTGGGAGGCTGAGGCAGGAGGATCGTTGTGAGTTCGAGGCCAGCCTGGGCTCCAAAGTGAGCTCAAGGCCAGACTGAACTGCATAGTGAGACCCTGTCTCAAAAACACAAATAAATAAATACCATCCAATGTTGATGAGTCACAATTTCTTTTTTTTTTTTTTTTTTTTTTTTTGAGACAAGGTCTCACTATGCAGTTCAGGCAGGCCTTGAGCTCACTCTGTAGCCCAGGCTGGTCTCGAACTCACAGCGATCCTCCTGCCTCAGCCTCCCGAGTGCTGGGATTACAGGCGTGCACCACCACGCCTGGCCCAATTTCTTTTTCTGTCTCTCTGTTCAGATCTCTCCTCTGGACATAGTGGAAAGAATTAATTTAAGTTTGTGAACTAAAATACCACTGTATTCAACTGCCAACCTCACAGGTCCAAAAATTTAACATGTACAAAGTGTTCTTTTACCCTGAAGCTCCCCTGGACTTCTCTATCCCAGCTGGTGGAGAATGCTAGGCACCAAGATCTGTCACAGAGCTGGGGGTGTAACGCCGTGGTAGAGAACTTGCCTAGCATTCCAAGGTCTTTTTTCCCCCTCCCCCAACAAAGTCTGAGTTCGATCTCCAAGCAAACAAAACTATCATACAACTGGAGTGCCCAAGACCTGGGTTCACATCAGTCACCGTCCTGTTCTCCCAAGCAGTCTACTGCACTGGTCCTGATATTTTCCACACTATGCAGATGAAGAAACAGACGCTCAAAAGTACCAGACCCAGGTGGTTAGAGGAGCAGTGTGGCTCCAGGTTTGTACCTCCGTCCTCTGACTAAAAGCCACGAATTGATTTGCCTGTGGCCTGCATACTGATCAGGCTCTTGGAGACTGAATGCTCCTTTGGTACTGAACAAAACCCAGAAGTGCCAGAGGCTATGCCAAGAATTTGACACCTGGCATCTCGGTGGCACTTGCTAGCTCTCTGATGAAAAGCAGGCTGCTGGTCTTTACATTACAGTGATATCTGTCAGTCATGTATGCATCAGTGCATCCGTTTAGTACGTATTTACTTAGCCGGGGCGATGTGTTAGGGAATGAAAACACACAGCAGAAGGAAAGGCAGCCCCCACCCCATTGGATGACGCTTCCGGCCGCCAGCGCATGCGCCCGGTCGCCCCATCCGCTCCCTCCTCTGCGCTTCACTTCCGTTCTCCCCGCCAGGGGATGCTTCACTTCCGGTCTGCGACCCTCCACTTCCGTAGGTCACAATGGCTTCCCAGCCTCCTCCCCATCCTTAGGAAAGAAAAGAGGGCATCAGTCCTTCCCCCTCCCACCTCGGGAGTGCTAACTGCAGCCAGGAGAAATGCCACAGCGGGAGCGGGCACCATTTATCCTCCTGCAGGGCTCCGGAACAGCCCAGTGCTTCTTCCTATCATTGGTGCGGCCAACTCCCATTCCCTAGAGCAACTGGTGTGAAATGAACTTCGCATTTTTACCAGCTCTTCCCCGTCACTGCCGCCCCGTGCCCGCCTCCCAGCCCCAGCTGTCTCTTTTGATGCCAGTATGCTAACGCAGTGCATAGATTGAGCGCAACTTACTCAACCAGTCCCCCAGCTACTGGGCAGAAGACAAACGGCATTCGTAAATAAGCACCACAATACGGGGGAAACAAGCAAAAGCATTGTCCACATGTTATACGACTTGTACCATTCGAGGTGGGTAGGTAAGCTGAAGTTTCTTCCACTGGACGTTTATGGCCCAAACACCGGAAGGCACACTGAGTGTGACTGTGTGTCAGTAGTTCAGGGAAAGATCAAAATTCCAAGTATGGTGCTAGCCGGAAGCGGTGACACACACTGTGATCCCAGCATTTGGGAGGCTGAGGCAGGGGCATCACCATGAGTTCAATGTCAGCCTCAACTATATAGTGAGACCCTGCATCAAAAACGAAAGTAATTAAATCAGGAGAAGCCAGGGATGGTGGCACAGGCCTCTAATCTAGCACTGTAGGAGGCTGAAGCAGTAGGATTGCAAGTTTGAGCCCAACCTGAGTGACCTAGTGAGACTCTGCTTCAAAATACAAAATAAAATGGGCTAGGGATGTAGCTTAGTACCAGGAAGAAAAAAAAAAAAAAGATAGGAGAGAAAGTCCAATTGGCTGAGTTAGGGACATGCACCCCTCCTCTAGGTGGACTGAGGTGGTGGCTGAGGTGGTGGGGTGTCTTGATCTACAACGCCAGAAGCCCGGGTAGTACAGGACCTTCAAGGTGCCTCGTCCAGGGACACAGAAGTTTCCATCAGAAGCACGGTGGGCAGGAACACCAGTGCCAGCCAGGATTTCATAGCTCTGCCCACCCCACATCTGCAGTCTAATTCTGCTAGTGGAGAGGAAAGGAGGAGGAGGAGGAGGAGCAGAGGGCAGTTCTAGTAACATCCAAGTAATCTCACATCCAGCTCACATCCAAGGCAGCCCAGGACCTCAAAAAAATACTACTTCAGGCCAAAGTCAGATGCCGAAAGGTTTTCCCATAAGCTCATAAACAGGAGAAATGTAATTGCGGGGAGCAGGCAGTTAAATTATGGGAGGGACCCGATGTTCTGAGAAGGCCAAGGAGTGGCTGCCCCCGGTTTTTGCTCTTTGGGGTGCGCGCTGCTCCACGGAGGTGACTGGGCTGCCCGGGTCTTTGACCTCAAGTGCTGTGAGGTCAGGGCCCTGCCTGTCCCACCTGCAGGCTGGGACTCCGAGCCCCGTCTCTAAGCGCCCTCCCCCGAGCTGCTGGAGTCTGAATTGCCTCCGTAGGGATGGAGTCCTTCCCTCACATCTGCGTTCCTGTTCCAGGTGAAAAGGTGACTGTGCCACGCCCCGCAGTTCACAAGGCAGCCAGAGATAGGTTATCTCATCTGATCATCTGAGCACCCGGAGTGAGCGCATTGAACCTGCCTGACAGATAAGATCGAGGTTCACGGAGGTGAAGCAACTGAGCTCCCAAGGTCGTGGGACACCCGAGCGAGCGGGGAGCAGCTCCCAGGCCAGTCCTCTTCCGGTTCGCCTCTCCTGTGTTGCCTGGTCGGCTTCTTGGGCCTGTGCGGCACATACTTCCACCCACGACCCACATTTCTTTCTTTCTTTTTTTTTTTGGTACCAGAAATCAAACTCACAACCCTGAGGTTGCCAGGCAGGTGCTGTGCCGCTGAGCTCTACCCCCGGCCCTGTCTCACATTTCTTTTTTGTTTGTTTTGTTTTAGTTTTTTGTCTTCTTGAAACAGGGTCTCACTATGCAATTCAGCGTGGCCTTGAGCTCACTTTGTAGCCCAGGCTGGTCTCGAACTCCAGAGGATCCTCCTACCTCAGCCTCCCGAGTGCTGGGATTACAGGCGTGCACCACCATGCCCAGCAAGGCATTAAAAAGAAGTTTATTTAGGGGCTGGGGATTTAGCTCAGCGGCAAAAGCACCTGCCTGGCAAGTGCAAGGTCGTGAGTTCGGTTCCCGGTACCGGAGAAAAACCAAAAAAAAAAAAAGAAGTTTATTTAGCTCATGATTTTAGAGGCTGGCAGTCCATACAACATGACACCAATTTTGCAAGCCCCCCCACTCCTCCTTGTGACAAATGGCCTAATGGTAAGGGTGCATAAGACAGGGAGAGAGCACATGTAAGACAGGAATCTGCAGAGTGGCAGTTTAGCCTCACTCTCTTAAAACAGTGCATTCGGGGGTCGGGCGTGGTGGTGCACACCTGTAATCCCAGCACTCGGGAGGCTGAGGCAGCAGGATCGTTGTGAGTTTGAGACCAGCTTAGGCTACAAAGGGAGCTTCAGGCCAGCCTGAACAGCATAGTGAGACCCTGTCTCAAAAAGACCAAAAAAAACCCAAAAAACAAAAAAAACCAGCCCATTCAGCCGGGTGTGGTGGTGCATGCCTAATTCCAGCACTTGGGAGGCTGAGGCAGGAGGATCTTTGCAAGTTCAAGACCAGCCTGGGCTACAAGACCAGCCTAGGCTACAAAGTTCAAAGCCAGCCTGAACTGCATAGCAAGACCCTGTCTCAAAAAGACAAAAACAACCCAAAAACCCCAGCCCATTCAGCTGGACACAGTGGAGCACACCTGTAATCCCAGCACATAGGAGGCTGAGGCAGGAGGATCACTGTGAGTTCAAGGCCAGCCTGTGCTACATAGTAAATTCAAACCAGTCTGAACTATACAGCAAGGCCCTGTCTAAATAAATAAATAAAACAACTCATTCTCAACCAAAAAAACAATTAATAATAGCAGGAGCACCACAAGAACTACATTAGTCCCATTCAAGAGTAGCACTCCCCAGGGCTGGGGATTTAGCTCAGTGGCAAAGCGCCTGCCTGGCAAGCGCAAGGTTGTGAGTTCAGTTCCCGGTACCGGAGAAAAACCAAAACAAAACAAAAAAAAGAGTAGCACCCCCTGATCTACTTGCCTGGCACGAAGCCCCTCCTAAATGTCCCACCAGGTCCAGTCCCAACATCACCACACTGAAGGCCAAGTTTCCCACACAGAAGCCGTGGGGAGACACGGCCAAGGGTGTGCGGCTCTGCCTGTGCGTGACTGACAGGAAGCAGTCGATTTTGGTTGCTAGTGGTGTCTCCAGTAAGCAGGGCTCTGCGTGCAAAACACGCACTGCTCGTCTGTAGAATTATTCGTGGAAATTGTGTGCACATGTGGGAGGTGATGCGCATGCAGCCGTGTTTGTGGATGCAGGAAGATGTGTGCTCTTCCGTGTGTCTTAGGGATGTGTCACTGTGCGCATGTGGGATATGGTACACCTTCCTTCATGGCGAGCAGCTGAGCTCTGGATCTACCTGTGTACAGTATGTGGGTATAGATGTGAGAGGCTCTGCTTATGGAAAGGAAGCATCAGCTGGATGCCTTAGGCTACAAGTAAGAGAAAAGAAAGAAGCCAGAAGTGGTGGCACGCGCCTGTCATCCCAGCACTCTGGGAGGCTGAGGCAGGAGGATCAAAAGCTCAAGGGATTTAGTGATTTGGGAAGACCCCATCTCAAAATTTAAAAAGTAACAAAATGAAAAGCTGGGGACATAGTTCACTGTGAAGGTCCTGAGTTCAACCCTTAGTACAGAAAGAAAAAAAGAAAGAAAAAGAAAAAGGGAAAAGGAAAGAAAACCCTGAGATAATTATTCTCTCACGTGACTGAATTCCAGAGGTAGAAGGGGGACTCTATAGTTGCCCGATTATACAGATCAGTTATGTTCCTTTCCTCCATCCCACTCTGGCGAACACTGCATCCATCCTCGTCGTCACACCGCGGGGCAGCGTTCCCACCCGACACATCCCCACACTGCAGAACCCAAGGACAGGAGAGCGGCTCTGCTTGTGCGGCGACTCTCTCAAAAGCTCCACCCCGACTTCCACCGGGTCTCACTGGCTAGAGATTGGTCACACAGGCGAAGCTAAACCACTCTCTCTCTCAAGGGACACTGAGATCACCAAGTTGGCTTGGATTTGTCAGGGTTTCTCTTCTGGAGCTGGGAATAGAATTAGTCTTTTTGTTGTTGGCTTTTTGGGGGGCGGGGGGGGCGTCTTTTTGAGACAGGGTCT